GATCACCAACCAATTAGGATCGACCATAAAATACTACAGTTATTGCATGCTTCGCATGCAATAACTATTTATTATTTATACGTATAAGACAGGGCTGTAATACGTAACACACATGTAAGGTAAATGTGGGTATAATCTGAGGGTAAGTAAAAGATGACATTTCGAACAACTTAGTTGATTAAATTCGATTTGCTTAATGAAACATTCTGTTTCCTTGTAAAATGTTCAATTCATCGTTTTACCCACATTCGTCATAATACCCCACATTTACCTTACGTTAGATAAAAGTTGGACTGCTCTGCGGATTATTTTTCAGACAGTCTTGGACGCCTCAAAGGTATAATACTACCTAAAGAGGTTTGACTACTACGTATACAGTATTTTTTTGGGGGTTTTTTTTTTTGCATATGTTACATATAAACAATCAATATTCTTTGTCATCGTCCGTATCATTTAATTTAATGCATTGATACTTAAGTAAGCAGTAATACATGAAAGAAGGATCTTTTATGAATATATTATTTACACCATAAGATTTTAGTTAGCAAAAAACATAGATATCATAATTGGAAAAACAAGTAAATTGTCGCGGCTGAAGGTGGGAACGGCTGAAGCTGGAAATTGTAAATTTTTTTTAGCGTGAATTTCTTTTAGTTGGGATTTAGGTTAGTTTATAATAAAAGAGTATAGGCGGACTTTAGTATGGTTCATAATTTTTTTTAATAGAGACACCGATTTCCAGTTTCAGCTTCAGCCGCGGCATAAATGTCAATTTGTATAAATATATATGCGAGAATACATAGTATTTTTGAAACGCGTAATCTGATTTACACCCCATTTTAAGGTACTGTGATACGCCACGGCCAATTTTAATGCTTTTTCCCGGAATAAAAAAACAGCCTTTTCGAGATTTTCCTGACTTATATATGTAATGCATACATACGTACGTACGTACTACGTACCTAACCTAAACTAGATTTGGAAAATTATAATTGTGCACATTTTTGTTGATCAGAGTAATTTATAAATCAGTATATACTTACGTACGTACGTACGTACGTACGAGCGTAATTCTATTGAAAGTTCAAGGATTTGTAAGGATGAAGAATTCTTTGCCACATTTATGTCTTGAGAATATATTTCTAAATCTGGAACAGGATTCAAAAACCCTACATTCATGTGTTTTAGTTAACAAACAATGGAGCATATCGTCAGTTCCAATATTGTGGAGAGATCCATTTAGACTCTGTCAGAATCTTCGTAAACCAGAAAAACTCGTGCCATTATTGAATACATACCTATCATTTATTCCTTCATATACACAAGAACGTCTTGAGATCACATCAAAAAAAATTATTGGACGACCAACGATTTTCAATTATCCAGTCTACCTACGCAGCATAAGTGTAGTATTGATTCATGGAAGTGTTGAATATTGGACAGATTCGATATTTGGTGCGGATTCATTCCCTTTGCAAAAAATTACACCCATTTGCAAAGTCCTTTGTGAATATTTTTTATGCAATTCATCCAGAATTGATTATCTTGATCTTGAATATGCTGCAAATTGGTTTAATATATTTGATCTTGACGGAGCAACCACTTCCTTATCATCAATTCAGTCAGTCATAATTGATGATCAGCAAAGTTTTCCAGATCAATTCGAGAACCTTTCTTCTGTCATGAAAAATGCACGATACTTACGTTTATCTTTAAGAAATAGAAAGAATGTTCCAGTGTGTAAAAATGTTATAAATCTTTTACAAACCCAGAAATATTTAAAAAAAATTAGTTTATTTAGCCATGTTTCTGATTTTTTTCAAAATATTTGGGATAGTCTTGCATCATCACCATTACTTCACAAGAGTTTAACATCCATCGAAATTCATGAAGCGACATTTGACGATTCTTCTCTTTTACAACTATCTAAATTTTATAATCTACAACATTTAAAATTTTACAGATGTAGAAATTTTACTGGTGACATTCAAGAAATTGACGACTCATCAGTATTTCAAAATCTTTCACAGTTAATTATTTGCAAGATACAAATGGATTCACGAATATTAGAGTTCATTTTAAAAAAATCCAATACAAATCTTAACGTCTTAGAGTTCCATGATCATAATATTACTGATTTTCACAAAACCGTTCTTTGGTGTATAGGTTTTTGTAAGAATCTTACAAGATTTGTGGCATCAATTCAAGTGAATCAAATCTCGGATATCATTTTACTCTTTAAAGAATGTAAGAAACTGGAATACTTTCATATATATGATGCAAAGCTTTTATTCGAAGATGAAGAAGAACCATGGGATGAATACAGACCGCCGGAATTGGAATTATTTAATGCAACAGAATTACTGGAAGAATTGGGATCATGTATACCAATAACCATGAGAACTATTAAAGTTTGGATGAATTGGTTAATTACGATCGAAGATATCGAAGCATTTGTTTCAAAGTGTGTGAACTTTAACTTGAATATGAAGGTCATAGAATTTAGGCATTGCAAAGGATTTGGAAATGCACATAAGGAAGTGATTAAAAACTATTTGTTGAATAATAAATCATTAATGTAACAATCATTTTGGTTTATGGTAGAAAAATGGTATAGCCTTTTTCTTTAAATGAATATGTATTTTAAATTTGATCATATTTTATTCAATCATTATGTAAACGTATATAAATATCGAATAAAGTTGCTGGTCACAACCTTTATATAAATTATTCATTTTTAAAATAAATACTAGACTTTTAAGGGTGATTCTAATCGACTTGATCCAAGTTGGGTAATATGTAATATTGGTTTACAAACTAAAAATAACTATACATGTTTAAGTGATTTTTCTGCTTTGTTATAGTAACTTGCAATCATATTTAATCATATTTTGAACGATGTCAAACGAACTTGCCAAATTTGAACTTGGTCTTATTTGACCAAAACAGAATTCCCACTCATTATCATCCAATTAGAATTGCACTTAAACAAATTTGATTTTTAAATTCTTTAGTCAACTTGCTATTATTATCGTTATTTGCTGTCTCCCGTAATAAATTGCTATTATATTGCTATAATAAATTATCTGGATGACCACGATAACTTTCATATATTCTAGGCCGTTAATTAAGATAATAATCTTGAATACAGTATGTTGGTAAACATATTATCGTTACTTTTAGTAACATAATGTTACTAAAAGCAACGATAAGTAGTAAACTAGTGACTCGACTATACCATAGTCCATTATTTGATCGATCAGGATGCTTAAATTTGATCGATCAAGAAAATTCTCGTAGAATACATCTTTGTTTTTTAGTAAATTAGATAATATATGATTGATCAATTCTTGACCTAACGATGGATCGATTATATATACTCGAGCATGTAAATTATGTGATTTTTTATCAATTAAGCGAAATTTTTTTGTCAAGCCAATTTACTAAATAGAACTTTGGGATCCTGAACGTTATCGTTATTAAATATATACGTAAAATTTAGGACCGGAAATTCCATTACTTATTTTTAGTAACTTATAAACATTATCATAAGTTTAATTAATAGTCTATATAATATAACGATAACCGTTGTGACCGACTCTAAATGCACGTTCTTTGTATCTTATTATATGTATATTTTTTCCGGCAAAATCATTGAGATTTGGGCAGACAAGTACCGTAAATTCTCGAAATAGCAGGAATCTGCGCGCTATTGCAGATTTTCTGAATAGGAATGTTAAGTAGTCCACAAAGGACTGGGTCAGACCGGGTCTAGGATCGAACTTTTTAGGGCCGGTCTGAAACTAGTCCAGATAAAAGTGAGTCATGAATGCTTTTGGCATTTCGCTTTTAAAATTATACCCGGATCTGTCGTGCCCGAAGTTTGCACCCGACTAAAGTTGGAACTTCAGTTGGTACCCGACTAAAGTTGAAACTTCAGGTGCCTGAAGTTGCCGAAATCGGATCATCCTGCACGCGCTAGCAGGTGCCAACTTCAGGTACGTACGTAGAAGTTCCGACTTCAGGCAGATGCCAACTTCAGGCACGACATAATCAATGCTGTTAAATAAAAATATATGAACAGATGTTACTCATTATACGTAATACAGTAAAGCATTATATGAAAAATGATCATATTCATTCGACAAGTAAAGCTAGCTATTGTTTTGAAGTTGATACGCGTATATTTTTTCACTTTATGTTAATGAAATATATCATTCTCTCCAATTAATAACAACTAATAACTATATTTACTGTATATTTAAATCTACCGATACAAAACAATGGACTATATATGGGTGGCGGTCAGGGAAAACCTGTAAATCATGCTTTCTGAATATTTACTTTTAATGAAAAACAAAGTAACTGAATACCTAAAATTTCAATGTTATTCGAATCGTCTCATTAATGCGATTCAAATGATATTAAAATAATAATTGCTAAGTTACATGATTTTAAAATACTTTTATTAAAAGTAAATATTCAAAAAGTATGATTTATATACAATATCAATAATAAGATATATATATATAATCTACTTTTCACTCTTCCGGAACGGTACTAATATCTTCATCAAAAACTGGTGATTTTGAAGCTATAATATACACTAGATCATTCTCCTTTAAAATGCAATTTTTATCAGGACTAACGTAAACATACCGTAATCCTTGATTATTATGTATAACATATCGGTATAGTCCAAGCGCTATTGCTTTATGCGCTCTGACTAGATGTCTGTGAAGCGCTTTATATTTTTGACCTTTAAAGAAAAATTGATGGATTAGTTTCTAATTATTACTAGTCATTTAAAATATCTAACTCTATGTATTTTATGTACCTATATATAAAGGAGGGATTTCAACCTGAAACACATGACCTGAACTAAGACCAAGATTAGTCCAATAATTGCCATCATCCTGTTGTATATCAATCTTTGGTGATAAACTTTCATCATCTATACCATGACTAAATGTTAACCGTTTCAAGATCATAGGAATGTGGCGATTATAAAAACTATTATTTTTACAATCATACTCAATTAGTGCTCACGAAATTAACAAAGACATTTAAAAAAATATAATTTTTTTTTACCATTGACAAAGCATTGTATCTAAATAGCTGGGTGTAAACACGTTTCCGTTCATAAAAGATGGTCGCATTAGTGCTTGAACTAAACGATATATAATAATCAATTTAGGTATTTTGATACATAAAACAATCATAATTGCAATTGTATACTCACTATAATCTTCTTGATTATTCTTAATCGAATCACTTTCTCCTATCATTTTAAATGTTTCTCGGTGTACACACTCAACCAATATAAAGCAATCATCTAGTGCAAGTGCCTCAATATTCAATGCCGTCATGAGTGAAGTGGCATCTGCCGTTCCATCGTTTGTCCTATGAATAATAAACCATTATAATTGATTATCATGATAATTGATTTAATTCAAATTATTATTTTTTTTAAAAAAACTCACCCGTAATGACTTGTAACACTACTCAATATCATACATTTTTTCGCAACATGAGCTCTAGCTCGGAAAAGATCGTTCCGTCTCAAAGGTGACCCATGAACAAAATATACATCCTTAAATTTTTTTAATGCCCGCTTCTGCGATTCCGATGGTTGACTATATGAAAGGATAACCACTGGCATATTATGACACTTTGAATTGTTCTCACGAAGCACCATTATAAAGATATCTAAATTAAGAGGAAATTCGTCACTGTTATCACAAATTAACACGTGGTTTTTTATATTTTTAATCTCTGAATCAATGAGTGATTCATCACAATTGGCCCTGGCCATAATAATATTATGTTTTAAGATTTCCGCGCGTAACGAAGTTGTCATTGGAGCTGAGAAAACATGTGTATTTTCCACTAGTGACGACACCTGTATTCTGCTTTCTTCCTCAGATAAAGATTTTTGTCTTGCAAGTTTAGATTGACTTATTGGTACACTAAGCGCATCATTAGAAGAGTAATGTCCGTCATCATCCAATTTATGCGTTGATTGTATAACAACAGACTCCGTGTCTTGAGCCAAACTTCCTTCGTGATCAGGTTTATTAAACTGAGCCAGTCGTAATGCTATTTCAGCATTGTCAGATATAACAAATACGATCTCATCTCCTTTAATTACATAATCTTGAGGATTTAGAAATATTTGAAATGGGTAAGAATGATTAAATAATGCGCCTAATTGACTTTTTACGGCTCCAATAGCAAATAAGGTAACATCTAGTTGGGTGTATATGATTTCCGAACATTCCAAGAATGTCTTTCCTCTAAAATAGTCTGAAAGTGAAGCAGCATAGATTTCGTATTGAGCACCATTAATATATTCGATTGCCCAAGTATTTGCTCCTAAAAAAAAAAAGGATAAATTATATACATTATTTAAATATTTTATAATTCTTTTTTCTTTTAATAACGCAAATAAAATGACAACCTTTAATATGGTTTGCATTGACTTTCAGTTCATGTGCAATTTGGTCCGTAATAGATATGGTAAGAAGCACAATTAGAGATGCAAATCCAGGTGTGACCAAACTTTGCGCCATTAGACCCATGGAAATTTCATCAATACATAAAATATCCTTTGCTACGTATATATATATGTTTAATATATAAATTATTACTTAAATTATAATCATCACTTAAATTATAATTATAATAATTGCAAATAATTTGTCAGTCCAATTACCTAGCAAGTCAAAATGAGGAACATTCTCCGGTAAAAGTACTTGAACATAAAGTGGCTTATAAATAGCAATATAAAAATTATTAGATTATAAACTAATTTTATAAAATTAAATTTTAATAAATATTCAAACCAGTTCTCGATTGTATTTTTTCAAAGCCTATTATGTAATATTAATGATTAGTATTATATAAAAATGAACAGAGAAACGTTTCATGAAGAATAATCCCACAAATCACATTCATTTTACATACCAAGGATCGTATTATTTGTGCGGCATCATCTTTATCTCTATTACTTGAAAATTTTGGAGATAGTAAAAATGCAGCACTGGCAGTATCTGCTTTAACTTTTTCAAGACTTCTACGAAATGCAGGAGATCTATCAAAAAATATATGGAATTGAAGTTTTTAAATAAGAAAATTGTAGTAGTTAAAACGCAGTGTAAATACCCTTTAATGTATTGAACTCTATTGATAAATGCAGGATCTTCTAATAATAATGCAGTATCATCATCAGGCTTAAAATCAATAAATTATGTATTAGCATAATAAGAATAGCGCGTGATATAAAGTACAAAAAATATTGGTTTAACGTGTTACCTCATCCGGATTCAGAATCAAAGCGAAAGTATTCATAGTGGTCATTCCATGATCTTGACAAAAGAATTCACGTAAAAATTCAAATAAACTCATTGCATCAAAGCTTCCGGTGATTATTATGTGCTCTATATTCTTTTCTGCTTTAAACGAATGATCATATTTTGATTTTTGTTGAATCAAACTGATAAGTTCGGTTAAATGCGTTGGTCTGATGTGAAAAATGAGCAAATATAAGAAAAATGCTATTATTCGACTGAAAATGTATACAGTTTATATGCAAACGAAAAGAAAACAAAACTCGATTTTACATGAAAATGGCGCCCATTACCATAATATATAAGATGACTAATTTAATCCAAAAATTATCCGCCGTGACATTTTTTGTTGTCATACCGGTTGTACTGGTCAAATATTGAAAGAATAGATAAATATATCAAGAATGAATTAAATCACTATTTGATTACATTTGATTACATTTGATTACATTTAATAACCTGATCACATACCAGCTTACTATTTCAATAAGAATATATAACGATAAGATTCATTACTGATAAGTAAAGTAAACACAACAATTTATACTGAAAAACAGGTCTACGACATACCTACAGTGAACCAAGTTGCATCAAAATAATCTATGCCTTCAGACAATTCATCATAATATGTTATTATATGAATCCACGAAGAAACAGCAAGGATTGTAAATAATATCGTAGTGCCTAAATAATTGGGAAATTTTAGAAAAAAATTTGAATTACCCAATACATATATATAAAACAATAGGCAACCTACTTATTTTGAGGCCTTTTCTCAAAAGCTTAGACATCCTGAACAATGAACTTTTAACAGGAGTAAAACATAAATGTACAGACACAAGAGCACGAAAGAAACGTAATGGGTAAACATAGACCTTTGAAAGGTAAGAAAAGAAGTTAGTCACGTGCCTATAACTAGGGTTGAGTTGACTTGAAATTAGGTTCAACTCAAACCAGCTTAGATTATAAAATTCTAATATAATATTCTATTTTGCCTCCAATTTAGTAAACTGGTTTGAATATTCCATTTAACATATTTTATAACTCACTCCAGTCTGGTTAGGAGAATGATGCACCAGTAAACAACCCTATTTATAACATTACAAACATAATCATACTAACAAATCTGTCAACACCCATGTAAGTATTATCCATTTCCCTAATAAAGAATCGGGTTATGAAGGCCGCGATCACAGGAAACACAGAAATCCAGGTTGTAATTGCAAGAGAATTTGCTAAATATTGCAAATAGTTTTTTGCCAACCAAACGCGAGGAAGAAACTGAATGAGAATGAGGCATGCCAAAATAAAATCCATAATTCGGAGAATATTAGGGAACTCGTAAACATCCTTAATTACATAGTATGTGCTCTGGTTTGTAAAAAATTTAGAATATCTTTTAAGGTCAAAAAAAATTACGCAAGCCTGATCACATTCCTCAGGCTATCGAACATCGAATTTCATAAAGTATTTTAGCTATTAAACCGGTGAAAACCGGATACTTACATAAATATATAATAAAACAAAAACTATGGACAAGAAGGCATCAAAAAGTTCCCAAATTCTCCCTTTTTTCCCCGTATCATATTTATATGCAAGTCTCCGCCTAATGCTAGGTGCTTTTCCAGCCCTCTTAAAAAAATCATTTTGACTTTTCACCCAAGCTTCACCATTTTCAGAGATACGATCGAAATGTATTGGTACGGATAATAAATTAGTATATATTGAGGGTTTCTTTGAAATTGAATAACTTTTGGGAGATTTAAAGGTTTTCTGTTGTCTATCAGAAGAATCCGACAAATCTCGATTGTAAGCTGCTACCGACTTGCTACGTTGAATTAGTGGAGAATTTTCATCCATCTAAATTTCTGATTGCTAATATAGGATGAGATAATGATGTAGATGCAAGCGAATAACCATGAACAACGAATTTTTATGATACTACTGTATTACCGAGGCTGAATAAGCATTTATATTTGAACCACACCTGAATTGTGAAACAACTTAAAAACAATTCAACTTTGTAATAACTTTTTGGCGTCAAACGCGCTGAATCAAATCAACTTCGTTTCCATTAATGTAGTACAAGATAAAATTTATCATCATTGTATATAGTTATGTTTGTTTGGCGACTTGGAATTTTGGATGTAACACAGGTACTTTATAATCCCCTAGTATACTTTTTTCTCAGAAAAAAAGAAAGTTCTATGTTCAAGATTAGAAGTCCATACTTCTGCTTCGGTGAATACGTAGTAGCAAAGTTATGCTGAAATTTATTTGAACTAAAATTTGGGTGTGTAGTTTGAATAATTTGGTTATAGATATATACATGTTAATTAAAGATGCAGTAGAATCATGAAATAACGCCCAGGGGCGTTATTTTGGATTGTGGCCGCATTAAATCCTCAACAGTATTTAGAACATACATGGGCTAGTGCTGGAAAAAAAGGGTCCAAATTGACAAAAGTTTTTCTTAAGCTTAACTAATTCGAAATTAGCCCAGGACCATTTGTTACTTAAGGAACAAATGC